CCTCGGCGGTCGGGCGCCTGCGCCCTATTACGACGACGAGGACGGGGTCAGCCTGGTCCAAGTCAGGGCCGCCGTGCAGAGGCCTGGGGCTGCGGAGACCACCCCGAGTCCTATTGGGGCTTGGACTGGGAGTTCGGCAACTCCTTCTCGGCCGCCAGACTCACCCTACGCCTTATCCGCTGGGGTCTTTGACTCCAGCGCGGTGGCTAGGGCAGAGGGCGCCACATGTTCCGCGACTGGGGCTACCTCAGGTGCAGCGAGTACGAGGCTCCCAGGAGCGGAGGCGCTGGGCGAGCCATCGGCGCCTGGCTGGAGGCTCGACAGTGTCCTGGGGCCAGGCTACCAGTTGCCCGTCAGCGCCCACGCGGAGTCGCTCAAGCACTTCAGGGCTGGTTACGACGAGGACTGGGCGGACGCAGTGTTCGGCCTGTACGGCGACACGGTGGAGGACCCAGTCGTGGTGGACTTAACGGAGGAGGAGGCTCTTCCCCACATCAGTGAGGATTCTGATACGTCATCGGCACCACCATCAGAGGAGCGATGTCAGCAGGGAGAGCTGAACCCTATAGCTGACCCTATAGCTGACCCTAGGGGCCCTCAGAGGCCAACAGGTGAACCCACTGGCTCAGCGTTGTCGCATCAGGCACCCAGCGGAGGCGCAGCTTCTGTGACGCTGGACGTGGCGGCGCTGGAGCCGCAGGGGATGGTGGACTTGCTCTACGGCGAGTTTGCCAAGTTGATGGAGGCCGACTTGCTCGGCCTGTACCACGTGCCGCCGACGGACGCCCACCTGTACGTCGGGCGCGCGGCGGACCCGAAGTTCGTGAAGAGGGACGTGCTGCAGCCAGGCGGGGGACCACACCCCAAGGGCTGCCCAGTCTCTGCTCGATGGCGCCGCATCGGGGCCGTCATGTGGGAGATGATGGCAGCTCGCAGGCGCTTGCACGTGGAGACGGCGATCCCAGCGGCCCTGGACCAGTTGAAGGGGCTCGCGGCCAAGGCGGGTGCCCTGGCATCGGATGACCTTGGCGGCGACTTGCTCACGGAGGGGGGGGGTTCGCAGGTGGAAGCGCCAGCTGCACACGCTCAGCCACCTCACCTTCAGCGAGTTGGAGAAGCTGGAGCAAGAGGCCAGGGACTTGGCGGCGAAGCTGGAGGATCGCTGTGGCAAGAAGCGGCGCCAGCAGTGGCGCCAGTGGGCGCAGGAGGCGGTGCAGGACGGTGCGGGCGCCGCCCACCGCTACTGCAAGGCGCCGCTGGCCTGGGCCCCAGACCTCGATGGTGAAGGGGGGCCAGCAGGCATCTCGGCGACGCTGGACGCGCTGAGGGACGAGTACCAGGAGGTGTGGAGGCACAAGGAGGTGATGCCGCTCGACTTGGACGACGCCCTTCCCTCCGAGCTGCTCGAGGAGGCAGGCGTGGCGCCCACCCCAGAGGCCATCAGGCGAGCGGCGGCGTCGTTCAAAGCGTCGACGGCGACGGGGGTGGACTGCATCAAGCCCCAGTCCTTCGGCCACCTGAGCGACGACGGCTTGATCGCGCTGGGCTTGGTGCTGCAGGTGCTGGAGGCGACTTGCAGGATCCCAGGGCAGCTCGACACCCTCTACATCTTTTTCCTGGCCAAGGCCGAAGGCGGGTGGAGACCCATCGGCCTCTTGAGCAGCCTCGTCAGGCTGCTGGGCAAGATGCGCCGAGGAGAGGCCCAGGAGTGGGAGCGCCAGCACCCCAGGGACTTCTTCTTCGGCGGCGAGGGCAAGTCATGCGAGGACGCGGTGTGGCTGCAGGCCTTCGACGCGGACTTGGCGACAGCGATGGAGCAGCACTCGATGACGTCCATGCTGGACTTGTCCAAGGCCTACGAGCGAGTCAGCCATGCAGGGCTGGTGGCAGCAGCCCGGAGACACGGCTTCAGGTTGAGGCGCTTGAAGCTCATCCTCCGATCGTATGGGGGACGGCGCAGACTCTGCCTGAGCAAGTGGGTCTCGGAGGCCTTCTCGCTGGGGACGTCGATCGTGGCGGGGTGCACCTTCGCGACGACGCTGCTGAAGGTGATGCTCCTCACGGCCATGGACCTCCTCATGCAGTCCTGGCAGAACGTGCGCGCCTACCTGGTCGTGGACGACGTCACGCTGGCGGTGTACGGGCGGCTGCGCGACGTGGAGTTCGGGGTCTTCGGCGCGACCAGGTGGCTCTGCCAGAGGTTGGAGGAGGACGGTTTCACGATCTCGGTCACCAAGGGGGTGATAGTCTCCAGTGACACCGACGCTGGCAAGAGGACTGCCCACCGCCTCAGGAAGTGGGACTTCAGGCTGCGGCGCGAGGCCCAGAACCTGGGGGTCGACTTCAGGCTGGATGGCAAGGCCTCGTGGGGCGTGCTGCGTGGGCGCCTGGGGCGCCTGGCTGTGAAGGCGTCGCGCTACATGCAGCTCCGACGTGCTGGCGCCAAGCTGGGCTCGGTTTTCAGGTGCAGCGGCCTGGCGACCATCCTCCACGGAGCCCGCGTCAGGGGCGTGCCGACCAAGGTCCTTGACAAGGCCAGGACCATCAACGGCCAGGCCATCTCGGGGGCGTGCGGCAAGCGGAGCAGGACGCTGCAGTTCGCGGTCCAGCCTGGGACTGGATGGCGCCGCGACCCCGCCTACGCGGCCAATGGTTTGCCGCTGCTGGGCTGGGCCAAGGCGGTGTTCCAACGGGCCAGGCCCGCGAGCAGCATGAGCATCGTGTTCAGCGCTGCTCAGCCTGCCCATTGGGGCCAGGTTACTGGGCCTGCTGGGGCCGTGCGCCTCAGCCTCGCTCGCATTGGCTGGCGAGCGGAGAGCTGGCACGTCTGGATCACCGACAGGGGCGAGCGCCTCGACCTGACGGTGCACAGCCCGAAGCTGATCGGGGTGTGGGTCGAGCGGGGCGTGCACAGGGCGCTGATGAGGACGGTGCCTGCCCACTTCCACGACCAGCTCGAGGGGCCGCCCACCATGTACCCCGTCCGCGCGGCGCTGGACCTGATCAGGGGGCTGGGCGACGCGGAGCAGACGGCGCTGGTGGAGAGCCTCGTGTGCGGGGGCCTCGTCTCGCAGTGCAACCTCTACGACGAGCGGGCGGCCGTATCCTCCGACTGCCAGTGGTGCGGCTACGGCATGGGCACGCACCACCACAGGCAGTTCTGCTGCGAGGGGACGGCGACGGTGGCGCGCGACATGGGCCTGGCTGCTGTGCGCGCCGCTGGCGCAGCTGCGGAGGTCACGGACATGGGCTTCGTGCGGTGCCTCGTTCCGCTCGGGCTGGAGCTGGCGCCGCAGCCGGCTGCTGCTGAGCGGAGCCTGCGCGCGGGGGCCCTTCGGCGAGCTGGGTTTTCGGGCACCGTGTGCATCGACGGCTCAGCCTTTTTCCCGCAGCTGGTGGAGATCACTCGCACTGGCTGGGCTGGTATCATGGTCACCACCGACGGCCGTGTGATTGGCGGCGCGCTGGGGACGGTGCCAGGCCTGGTGCAGGAGATCGGGTTTGCCGAGCTGTACGCGCTGCTGGTGGTCTTGCGAGAGGCCGACGGCGACCTGGAGATCATCACGGACTGCAGGAACGTGGTGGACGACTACGAGAAGGGCGAGCTGTGGTGCACCAGCCCAGAGTCCAAGTACGCGGAGCTCTGGAGCGAGGTGTGGACGCGAGCCCGTGACCTGCCTGGATCGCTGGTCATCCGCTGGACCCGTGCCCACACCAGCTGGGCTGCGGCGGAGGCGGCTGGCGTGCCAGTCCGCTGGCACATCGGCAACCAGGAGGCCGACAAGCGCGCCAAAGAGGGCGCCAGGCTGCACTGGGACTTCGAGGAGGCTGAGGAGCTCGCCACCCGTGTGAGCTCGGCGGCGGAGGCGAGCAAGAGGCTCCTCCGCCATCACGGCGCTGTGCTGAAAAGTGTCGCAGGCGCGGGTTGGCCCGATCGGAGCCCTCTTCCCCGTCCCTGCCCCCAGCAGGTCCTCTCCCTCGTGGCGAACCCTAATGGGCACGTCTTGGGCCGTCTTGGGAGGACCTGGGGATGTAGCATCTGTGGGGTAAGGAATGGGCTCCGATCTCGTATAGTCTGCCACCCGTGTCCGGGAGTGCCTAGGCCTGCGGCGATCGCCCATCCTTCCCATAGGCTGTGGGTGGTTCGGCGTGGGCGTGGGACGGGTGGGGGGGACGGTCGGGGCCTTGGGGGGGATGAGGCGATCGTCTTCTGTAAGCTCTGCGGGGCATACGCCCGTCGGCAGACCCATCTGTTGGCCGTGCCCTGTCGTCCCTGGTCCAGTCGTCCCAGGGACTCGGTCCGTCTGGGGAAAATCGCCCTGGACCGTCTCCGTGCTGGTCGGGAACCCCAGGGCGACGTCTTCTGGGGGCACCCGTTTCCGCTCGCCCGCGGTTCGGCCCCTGGTCCGAAAGCGGTCGAGGGAGCCGAAATTTAAAGTTTTGAGGGCACCGCCAGCCCTAGGTGGCGGTGCCGCGCCCAAATTTTTGGTGCCCCGAGGTTCTGAGGAGTCTTGGCCTTGACTTCGGAGGCGGGTCCTGCCACAGAGCAGGTGAGCGGGTCTTGGCAGAGCTGGACTCGCTTGGTAGGATACCAGAGGATACCAGAGGAGGAGGAGGAGGAGGAGGAGGAGGAGGAGGAGGAGGAGGAGGAGGAGGAGGAGGAGGAGGAGGAGGAGGCTGGGCGTGCCGCCTGCCTTCGCCGAGCTGGCGCTCGGGCTCCTCGGGGCCCTGCTGCCCCGCGCTGGCGTGAGCGCCCCGCTGGAGCGCCTGCACGACACCTGCGGCAGCGCCGCGCTGCGGCGGCGGCTCACCACGCAGAGGCTCACCGCCCACCAAACCGCCCCAACCCAACCCGAAGGCCCCGATTTGCCCCTCAGTTCCGGTGGGGGGGGTCGGAGAACATTGAAAAAGCACGTGAAGCTCGTACCCCCCCCAACCCGGAATCCGGGCGAAGTTCGGGTCTTCGGGTTCGGCTGGGGTGGTCTGGTAGGTAGTCAGAGGCTGCGGCTGCGCCACGGCGCGGCCTTCGACGCGCTGTGGTGCCGCTTCGTGCAGCGCGTGCTGCTGCCCCACCTCGGGGAGGATCGGGGGGCAGAACGTCAGAGGGGGCTAAGGTACCGATCCCGCCACCCTGGCCTCGTTCTCCCCTTGTTGGGTCTCCTGGGAGGCCCTCGTGGCCACCGCTGCATTCGCCTCGAAATTCGAATCAGAACGCACCCTGGGAGAGGTCCGGGGAGTAGCCGTATCCGTACCTTGTGGTTTCCCCAGGAGGATGCGCACCCAGGGTCCTTTTCGATCCGACCGATCTGTTTCGGCGTCGGTGTTGGCCGGCCCGGTCCGATTCGGCTCCGACGCTCCGGTGCATGCGGCCCGATGCGGCCCGGTGCTTCCATGGCGTTGTCGAGCATCTTGGCGCAGCCGATCCGATCCGATTTCCACGCCGTGCCGATGCAGCCCGAGACGACGAAGATTTCGGCTCGACCCGGATTTCCGATTCGGTGCTGGCTGATCTTTGCCTTATCGGGGGCGGAAAAGAGGGGGGGATGACTATGGGGGGTGGATATCATGGCGGGGGCCATGATACTTCCCCAGATTTTATAGCGCCTCTTCTTATTTCATTACGTCCCTGGCCCCCCCGCTGGGCCGCGCACATGCCGCCGGTCATGATTTGCACCCCCCCTCTTGGACACCCCCCTCTTTGCCGCTCCCGACCTTAGTGGGCCCCAGAGACGGCAGGGCCGTTTTTTTCCGTTTCCGAAAAGTGTCTCTTGAGAATGGAAGCGGCAAAGACGGCGACCAGAAACGGCAAAAAAGCGGCGCCAGGATTGGAGCCGGAGCCAGAACCGGTCACAAAAACAGCGGGGGAACCGGTAAAAAAACGGCGTCGGAACTTTCGTTTCCAGGGCCCACTGAGATTTTGGCACTTCTCGATCGGGGTCGCGGGTCTGTCTCGCGGCCTCTCTCTCTCTCTCTGTCTGTCGCCCGGCTCGTGGTGCGAGAGAGCGGCACGCGGCGTGACCTAATTACCAGGGCCAGCCTATCGAGGCGCGTGGGTACTGCGATGGAGAAGCTCAGGAGGGGAAAAAGCACAGACACAGACACAATCAAATCGGCGACTCCCAGGAAGAGGTATACGGGGAAATAACTCTGCGATTATTTCTGGGGGAAGACGAAACTCGAGAAAACATGGGAAAATGTGGGGGACCCTTGGATGTGTGTTTCTTCTTTTTTCTTTTTTTTTTTGTGTGTGTGTGTGTGTGTCCCTGGGCCCCTTCAAAAGAGGCATCGCCCGCGCCTGCGAGGGAGGTCCTGTTCTCGCGCCGGCGCCCGTCCCTCCAGAGAGGAGTGGGTCCTGTTCGAGCGGTCGCCGAACCTGCGGCTCCACTTCGCGCGCCAGAAGGCCTCGGTGGCATTATGTCGGGCGTGTCCCCCTACAGGGGGATTTCGACGAAAAACAAAAAATACTCGAGAATACCCCCAAAAGGTAAAAAAAATCGAACAAATAGTCACCAGACTATTTTTTGACTATTGTTTTAGCACTTGTGTGGTATTTTTCATTTTTCGTCGAAAAAACCCCTGTAGGGGGACAGGCCCGTCTTAACGGTGGCAACACGTGGGAGCCCCCCACCTTGGCTCTCGCGAACCGACGCGGATCAACGCTGGCCGACGCCAAGCGGCGCCAAATCGGCGCCGATCGACGCCAACTCGGCTCTCTGTCTCATCGATCATACCAGATGCGAATCGGCGCCAGCGCACTCCGGAGCCAGAGCGACGAGGGTATCCAAGGCTCCCGTGGGTATACGAGGCTCCCATGAACTGCTACCGAAGAAGGCTCCCGTGTCCGCACACTGCGACTCGGAGCACTTCCACTCGCCCTTCGAGATCAACTTCTGGGTGCCGCTCGTGGACATCTTGGATGGCAGCGAGAGCCTGTGGGCCGAGTCCGCCCCGGGGGCCGGCGACTTCCGCCCCTTCGTGGCGCCGTACGGCGAGGCCGTGCGCTTCTACGGCAACAAGGCCACCCACTTCACGGTCGACAGCCGCTCGCACCTCCCGAGGAGGAAAGAACTGCACAAACAGCAACTCTCGGAGGTGATCGTTTTCTCTTATCCATCGTTTCGCCGATCGGTGCGCGCTCTCGCACCTCCCCTCCCCACCCCACCCCCAAGTGGAGTAGATTCTGATTGTTTTTGGCGCCTGCTTCGAGCAGGTGGAGTCTCCCCCCCACAGGACGCACGGTTGCAGACGGTCGCGTTGAGCAGAGGTCCTAAGCCAGACCCCCCCTCCCTCTCCCCCCCTTCCTCCCAATGTCGAAACGCCGAATCAGAAAACGCTCACGAGCTCCGCGGGGATTTCTCGGATCTGCGCTGGGCGCCCCCGGCGTCGCCTCCGGCGCCACCCCCTCGCGCGCTCCGCGCGTCAGGGCGGGGGGTCCAGCGCAGATCCAAGAGATCCGCGCGGACCTCCAGCAGTTGGTGCCCGTGCCGTTTTTTGTGCCTCGCGCCGCACCCGCGTCTCCTTCGACGCCCGCGTGATCCGCGGCCGAGACGCCGCCAGGGCCCAGGTGTGAGCGACGGGAGAACGCGGGGGTCGGCTGCGCGGGCCTTCGCGCGCGAGCTTCCCGCGTGAGTCCGCGCGTGAGGGCACCAGGACGGGCCACGGTGCCGATGCCGCTGCCCCTGCCTCGTGTTCCCCCTGTCTGGGGCCTCCTGGGAGGCCCTCGTCGCCACCGCTGGAGTCGGGAGGACGGAACGGGAGGGTGGGGCAGGAGAGCAGGGAGTGGGCAGCAGAGGATGGGTGGGGAGGATGTGGAGAAAGGGGGGAAGGAGGAGGTGGCAGGGAGGGACCTGGACCCGCGCTGACGCCCCGAGGTGTAAACCCCGTGCCCCTAAGCGGCCTTGCATCCCGAGTAATTGCTTTTTGTTGGCCCGGGGCCCGGCAAGGGCACCCAGCGGCCGACTCGCCGCCTCGAAATTCTTGACTCTTCGCGTAACCCCACCACCTTTCACTCAGCACGACGGACTTGACCATCCTGGTTCACGTCTCTACTGTGTGGGTCGTGCCCCCACTTAGATTGACGGGCTGGGTTATCCTGGTTCACGTCTCATACTGTGGCAGGCTCCGATTTCCATGACATTTTGTCTGTGCACGTCCTCGAGCTCTCAGGATACCCCTGCCGTCAGCTCCCCTTCAGCTTCGCGGCTGCTTTGTGAGCGGGCCGGCCGGCCTGTGCCTTTTGTAGCTAATTAGCCTCGTTCGTGCCCCGGACTTTGCTTCTTGCCGCCTGACCTTTGTCTCGCGGCCGCGACCGAAAAAAGTAACCCCACCAGCCCATCCAGACACGATCGGAGGCTTTCTTGAGGCCTCTTGGAGGCTATCGTGAGCCATGTTCGGCTAGAGGCTGTCGGGGGCGAGCCGTGCTTAACGTCTTGGACCGTCTTGTCGCTGTCTTGAAGCCTCTTGGATTTCTGTCGGAGGCTATCTTGAGCCAGTCTCGTCCTCCTGTGACGATCTTGAAGGTAGGAGGAGGAGGAGGAGGAGGAGGAGGAGGAACAGGAGGAAGAGGAGGAGGAGGAGGAGGAGGAAAAAGAGAGAAGGAGGATGAGGGGGAAGAAGACGAGGAGAATGAGGAGGAGGAGGAGGAGGGATGAGGCAGGAAAGGAGGAGGGAAGGAACGGACGATGACAAGGAGGACGCGAAGTCGGGCTTTGGAAGTCGGAGGTGAGGGGGTGAGATCGCAGTGGAACGGAGAGCCCCCCACCAGGAAATCGGTCTCGGTTTCGTGTTCGTGTCGTGCGTGCGGGCGAGGCGAAGCTGTGTGGGCGCGAGAGAGGAATGATGCCGGTTAGGAGCTGTGGAGCCTGTTTTCCCTCCCCCCCCGTCGGTGTCCCGTCGGTGCGCGGGGTGTCCCGTCGGTGGAGCGAGGTGTCCCGTCGGTGGCGCGGCCGTGAGGTCGATATTGTTGTGAGATCTGTCGTGAGATCGGTAGTGAGATCTGTTGTGGGATCCGCAATGAGATCGGTAGTGCGATCAGTGCGATCTGTTGTGAGATCCCTTGTGATGTTTTTATGGGGTCGATTGTGAGATCGATTGTAAGACCGAAAGTAAGATCGATTGTGAGACTGATCGTGCGATCGGTGGTGAGCTCGATTGTGAGATCGTTCGTGAGACCGATCGTGAGAAGTGTTGTAAGACCGATAATGAGTCCCAATATGAGATCGATAGTGAGTTTCATTGCCAGATCGATGGTGAGATCGATTGGGAGATCGATCGTGAGATCTGTTGTGAGATTGATCGTGAGATGGCTTATGGGACCCTTAGTGGGTTCGATGACCAAACATATAGTGGGACCGAGTCTAAGATCGACAGTGATATCTGTTGTGATATCATATCGATCGTGAGCTCGCTCGTGAGATCGGTAGTGAGGTCTGTTATGAGATCGATCGTATGATCTGTTGCGAGATCGATCGGGAGATCTATTGTGAGATCGATCGTGAGATCGCTCGTGAGATCTAAAGTGGGATCGGTGGTGATATCGATGATGAGATCGATGGCGAGATCGATTGTGAGGTCGATGGTGAGATCGATTGGGAGATCGATCGTGATATTGATTGTGGAAAGTGTTTTGATGTCGATAGTTGGCCCAGATGTGAGATCGATTGTGAGTTCGATTGTCAGATCTATGGTGAGATCGAGAGTTTTATCGATATGCGATCGACTGAATGAGATGTTGGTTCCCTCTCTCCCCCTAACCTTCATATCACCCGAAGGGTGGTCGTATAGATCTGTAGTCGTGAAAGAATTTTGAAGTACGACGGAGGCCATCTTAGGGGCTCCCTTACGGCCCCCGTGAGGCCTCTTGGGGCATTCTTGGGGCCCTCTTGGGGCTCTCATTTTGGGGGTCCTAGGTGCCCCTTTGGGGCTCGGTGGGGGGTCTGGGAGGCCTCTTGGGGCCATCTTGGCTACCATGACTTTTACAGAGGGGGGGTAAGAAATTCTTTACGCTTCGCGTATCCCCACCAGCCCATCTCTCAACAGCAACTCTTGCGAAGCATGCCGACAGTCGTGTTTTTCTGGCGTGTTTCCGCCTGCGCCCGCATATCTCCCCTGTTACTCCTTCCTCCCGCCTCCTTGTACATCCTCCTTGTGGGGGGAGCGGGAGAAGGACGAGGCGGAGGAGGAGGGAGAGAAAGCGCGCCTCGTGGTTTGAGTCGTTTGGGGTTTCTCGTCCTGGTGTGAGTCGTTCGGGCCCTTCTTCCTGGTGTGAGTCGTTCGGGCTCTTCGTGGTGTGAGTCGTTCGGGCTCTTCGTCCTGGTGTGAGTCGTTCGGGCTTCTCGTGGTGTGAGTTGTTCGGGCCCCTCGTCCTGGTGTGAGTCGTTCGGGCCCCTCCTCCTGGTGTGACTCGTTCGGGCTCCTCGTGGTGTGAGTCGTTCGGGGCCCTCGTCGTGGTGTGAGTCGTTCGGGCTCTCGTGGTGGCTTGTATGAGCGCTGCCCCTCCTCCTGGTGTGACTCGTTCGAGGCCCGCGTCGTGGTGTGAGTCGTTCGGGCTCCTCGTGGTGTGAGTCGTTCGGGCGCCTCGTCCTGGTGTAAGTCGTTCGGGAACCTCCTTGTGGTGTGACTCGTTCGGGCTCCTCGTGGTGTGAGTCGTTCGGGCCCCTCGCCCTGGTGTGAGTCGTTCGGGCTCCTCGTGGGGCCTCTTGGGGGCCTCTTGGAGCCTCTTGGGGCCTCTTGGGGGCCTCTTGGGGGCCTCTTGGGGGCCTCTTGGGGGCCTCTTGGGGGCCTCTTGGGGGCCTCTTGGGGGCCTCTTGGGGCCTCTGGGGGGCCTCTGGGGGGCCTCTTGGAGGCCTCTTGGGAGCCTCCTGGGGGCCTCTTGGGGCCATCTTGGGGCTTCTTGCGACCTTCTCAGAAGCGCAAATGAGCGCCACCCCCTGAGAAGGACAAAATGAGGCCAAAACCATAGTAAAATCAATGATTTTGATATCAAGGAAGAGGAGCGCTGCCCCCTCAGAAGGCCAAAATGGGGCCGACACCCTAGTAAAATCAATGATTTTGGCTTCACAGAAGAGGAGAGGGGCCTATCTCCGTCCCCCCGTCGGGGCCAGAATCATCGTGAGGGTCGTCGTTTTTTAGCCCTCCCAGGAGTCGAAAAGGACCCCTCCAACGACCCGCGAAACCCCCTCTCCAGGTCCAGGGAGAGGGGGTAGGGGGAGGGGTAAACCCCTCCCCGAAGGGGAAGAAGGGGGGTTGAGAACAGAGCGGGCTCTCTAAACCACTCACGCCCAAAGGGCTGGTGGGATTCAGCTCCCTCCCTGGGAGGCTCAACAGTGGCGTCTTAGGGCTCTCTTGAGCCGCTCTTGCAGCGCTCTTGGGCGCTCTAGGGGCCTTCTTGGGGCGCTCTTGGGGCTGTCTTGGGCCGTCTTGGGGCCATCTGGAGGCCTCCGAGGCCCACCGGAATCGAAAAGGCTAGAAGGCCAAAAGCATTGGTTTTCCATTGTCTTTTGAAAGATTTTGGCTTCTTGGGGGGTGCCTAGGATTGGCTTGAAGTGCACTGGAAACCGTCTTTGGCCCGTCTTGAGGCGTCTTCGAGGCATATCGGAGGTTGTCTTGAACCATGTTCGGCTATCTTGGGCCATCTTGGAGGCCATCGTGGGCTCTCTGAGGCCCTCTTGGAGCCATCCCTCCAAGGCTAGGGGAGGGGGTATGGGGGCCCCCAAGACCACAAGCCGTTTCGCTCTCTCCGACCCACCCACCCAACACATAAGTAGTACCCGAGTCTCAGCGCATCGCCGAGGAGCGCCTCGCATGCCATGTGCGCTGCGGGTACAGGTGCACCCGGCACCCTGCAGGCCCCAGCGTGCGAAGCGCGGCAAATGCGGCACGTGCTCCACGAGCACCAAGTGCGCCACGTGCTCCAGCCGCGCCAGGTGCGCCACGTGCTCGGCGCGCGCAGTGCGTGCGAGGTGCGCCACTGCACAGTCGTCACCGAGTGGGTTCTGCTTGTTGTCTTTTTGACAGGGATGGCTGGCCTTCGCGCAGCAAGCAAAACGCCGGCACCGCCGCCATCCCTGTCAAAAACCATGCAGAGTGGTCGCGGGGGCGCCCGCCGAGTGGCCGCGGGGCGCCCGCGCATGCCTCGGATTTGGAGGCGGAGTGCATTGCGTATGGCTTTTGATCGGGACGATCGGCCTGCGCGCAATGTGTCCGCAACAAGCAGCATGCCAGCACCCCCGCCGACCTCTGTCAAAAACCGATGCGGAGTGGTCGCGGGGCGCTCGCGCATGCTCGAGATTTGGAGGCACAGTGCATTCTGTATTGTTTTTTGAAAGTGAGGTTGGGGGGTGATTGGCATGTCCCGGGTTGGCCCGCAGTCGGGTGGGGGAGGGGGTGTTTCTTAATAAGGAGCAGTGATGAGAACCCCACCCCGGAGCAGGGGAAGGAGGGTCGTGGGAAGAGAGAAGACAAGAGTTCCTTAAACCACCTACGCCCATAGGGCTGGTGCTTTTCTGGTCAGAGCGCAACCCAGGAGAGGTCCATGGGGGTCGCGGTATCATTGCCTTTTGGCTTTCCCAGTCTCCACGCCGTGTGCCAGGCTGGCGGCGCGAGCAAGCCGCGGCGCAAGGGCGCTACAGTCGAACCGCATAGGAAGGAGGAGCGACTTCCCAAGGGTACCTTTGCGTCCTTCCCCCTCGGCCCATCCCTGGCCGCCCTCGCTGGCCGCGCCCCGCCCCGCCAGGTGCCGACAGAGGCCTTTTCCAGGGCCCCTGCATCCCTATGCCGTGCACCCTTCTTGTGCGGGCTGGCCGCGGGACCCGCCTCGCCTCTTCGGCCAGGTGCCAGTCGGGCGGCGGGTGGACGGCCTGCAGTTCCTGACCGCGGGCCCGCAGCGCTTCACCGTCTTCGGCTACTACGGCGTCGTGTGCGCCGCCGGCGAGGTCCAGAGCCCCGAGGCCTCGGCATCGCTCGGGCGTGTGCCTTTTTCCCTCGGCGAGGACCATCGAGGAGCATCCTGGATCGTCTGGCGAAAAAGCCACGCACGACACCGAAGGAAACGCAGGGAATGGGCGTCCGAGCGATGGCCAGAGGCGTGCGCGGCGGCGGGCATCGACCTCGGGGCGGCCGCGCCCGGCGCGGGGGCGCCCGCGGCGGCGCCGGGGCCGGCGGCGCTCGGGCCGCCCGGCGGGTGCGCCCGCGCGGCGTCCTCGGAGGGGGGCCCGCGGAGACGGCGGCGGCTCTTCCTCAGGAGGGAAAGAAACACACCGACACAATGATTCGCCGATTCCCCAGAAAATGTGGGAAACTATGGGAAGTGGGGGGGGAAGACAGAAACCAAGAAAGTATAGGAACATATGGGGAAAATTATAGGTAACAGAGGGGGAATATTTTTATTTGTGTGCATTTATTTGTGTGTCCTGGGGCCCCTTCACTTCCGCCCACCTCAAGTCTTGTGGAGGACGATCACTGGAGAGGAAGCATGTTGCTAAACAATGTCCAGATGCCTAAGCATGTGCTAAACACGTAAAACAACATGTTTGAAACATGTTGAAAACATTTTCCAACATTTAGAACACATTTTACATGCAACGATCGGACTGTTAGGGTGTCCATTGTCGTGGCATCCACAGCCCAAGTCCCCTTTCCATTTCTCTGTGCACTTCCAGCTTGGGCTGCGGCTTCGGCTGCCGATGCTCCGCGAAGCGCCTTTGGGCCAGCGCACCCGAGTCGGACTTTCTGCTCGCACGGGTGATCCCCTCCCCCCATCACCCACCCCAAAGTGCGGTCAACGTCGGCCCCCAGACCGTTTCCTTATCGGACGGAGCTGGAACGAGGACACAGTCGTTCCAGAGCGTTCCGGAAGGCTCTCAGACGAGCGTTTGGGAACGCTCTGAGAAGGCCGCGGCGCCCGCGGCATTCTGCAGAACCTCCCGATCTCAGAGATGCTCGATTTATCTTCACCCGATTTCATCCTCGTCCTGGCTTCGTCTTACCGTGGGCCCAGCCGAGCCAGTTTTTCAAGGCGGGCCTAGTCGCGGCGACGAGGAGTCCCCAGGAGGCCCAAAGAGAAAGCAACATCGCCAGGTCGTCTGGGGTGGGAGGGGGGCGTTACCAGCTATGGTCAGCAGCACCTTGTCTTGATGCCGATCGTAGGGATTCCGTCAGTTCCCAGTTCCGGAGGGCGCACCCCTAGCAAGAAATCCGTTCATCTGTGTTGGACGCGTGGGCAGAAAGCGCTGCCCAAACGTTGCCTAGGCCGCGGCTGGCGCACCCAGGAGATGAGAGGCAGGAGAGGAGAGGCAGGAGATGAGAGGCAGGAGGAGGAGGAGGAGGAGGCGGAGGAGGCGGAGAAGGAGGAGGAGGAGGAGGAGGAGGAGGAGGAGGAAGGAGGAGGAGGAAGGGGGCGGGGAGAGTTTTCTTTGCTCTGTTCTGTCGGCCTCCTGGGCCGGGGGCGCCCTCGTCTCCGGCGGGGCCCCCCTCCGACTGCCGCCGAGCAGCCGCCGGGGCCCGCCGCGGGGTCGCGCCGGCGGCCCCGGTCCTCCTCTGCGGAGCACGCGCGGAGGCTCCCCCCGCCTATTGGGGCGACCGCGGGGGTTGCCGAGGGGGCCGCGGGGGGCAACAATTGGCGGCGAGCAGAAGGGGGTAGGGGTAGCGGTAGGGGTAGGGGGAGGGAGGGGGGTAGGGGAGGGGGGAAGGGGGTAGGGGGGAGGGAGGGGGGGGGGAGGGGGGAGGGGGTAGGGGGTACAGTGAGCGGCTTGAATAAGGAACGCTTGCTTTTCAAAAGGGGCTCGGTCGTTCCTGAGGCTTGAATGCGTGATTTGCAGTTCCTTATGCGTTATTTGTTATCTATCGCTCCTTATGCGTTATTCCTTGGGATAGAACATGGGCTTCGTTCCTTATTTATCGTTCCTTCGGTCAGGCCGATGACTGTAGGGGGAGGGGGGAAGGCTTCTTAGAAGGGGGCTACTTCTTAGAAGGCGCCGGCCTTGCATATACAAGAGAGGGCCCGCACCTTCTGAGAAGCAGGGGTGCTTCTAAGAAGCCTTCCCCCCTCCCCCTACCCCCCCCCTGCGCGCCGCCATCATGAGCGGATGCCAAGGTGGGTAATTCGGGGCTGGACAGGAGCCCCCACCCCGACGCGTCGATCAGTGAGTTGTCCGTGTTCGGTTCTCGAGGGGGGCGCCGCGGCCGCCGTTTTCCAGGCTTGCGCCCTCCAGGTTTGGGCCCGAGGTCGTTTTCACTAAGCCACGTTTCGCTGAAGGGAGTCCTGTCCATCCCCCGGGTAATATCTGGCGTGAACTGACTTGTAAGTGGGTTGCGGTCGTGACCTTTTGGGCCGCTTGTCGCTCCGCCGGTCCTGGCCCAGCGCGCCTCGGTGCGGCACGCTATCCACTTCCCGGTCCCGAGGAGTCCACGTCACGAGCACTTCACAGCCTCCCTCCACGCGGAGCGGAGCGACACGCAATGCGCTTGCAACGCACAGCGTGTCGCCAGGGCCGCCGCTGCGAAGCGCTATGCAAAAGTTCCCGACTGGACAAGTGGATCTGAATGCAGTTATCTGGCGTGAACTAACTGATAAGTGGTTTACAACTGCCCTACCTGGCTTGGGTGGTTTCGATATCTGCTCTCAGTGGGTGGGCGCAGGCCACCTGGTCCAGATCTTCAGCCAAGTAGGGCACCCCTGACCCACTAAGAAGCCATGCTAGGCCATGTGTAATCCACCTTCTCATCCACGTATATCGCCCCTGTCCACTTGGCAACCCGAGTGGTCATCAAAAGCATACACGATGGCGCTGTTAAGCAAACGTCAGGACGGGAGGTGTTTGGCTGTTTTGGGTTTCTGCACCGGGTCCTGGGCCCGTCAAAAAAACGACTCAGGACGAAAACCCGGTCCCAGGAAAAATGCGTCGGGACTTCGGGGACACAGTACTAAACAAATCAAAATATCGCAAGTCTGGGTCCAGGCCTCCCCAACATGGGACCAGGGTAGGTGGGCCGGAGGATCGCGCCGCGTTGGAGGAGGAGGAGGAGGAGGAGGCGGAGGAGGAGGAGGAGGAGGAGGAGGAGGGAGGAGGAGGAGAAGGAGGAGGAGGAGGAGGCTCCAGCTGCTCGGACCCCAGCTTCGACGAACGGCGAACGATCCATACTCCTGCTGCTGCCCCCCACTCGGAGCGCCATGGGGAAGCAGTGCGTGGACAAGAAAGCGCTGTGCCGGAGGCTAGACTTTTACACATGTAGCCGCTTTGGCCCCTCGTGGGGTCGGACCATGAGCAGGGGCATCGGCAAAACGGAACCCTGAGATACAGCATTATAGCAAAAGCCTTCACCGGAGCCCTGGGCCCCGTCTTCTTGCACCAGTATTCGAGCCCGCTCTATCCGTGAAGGTCCAAAGGCCCGAAGCCCGGCGAAGCCGCCTGGCTCGAACAAAAATGCGGGCAAGACTTTTGTCCATATCCGCTGCGTCTTGGAGTTTCAGGCTCCCTTCCTCCGATATCAGAGGCGTCGTGGATATGGATAAAACAGGTTCGCCCCTAGAGGTCAGATTTTTATCCATACCCACCGCGCCGTTGCTTGTTGGCGCCCCTTCCCAGAAAATCCAAGACGCAGTGGATGTGGATATAAATCGCGTCCGCAAAGTACGGAAACGAGACACCAGAATCTCAGGGATGCGGCGCGATCCTCCAACCGCACCTGCTCGGGACCACGGCGGGAAACCCTGTCTTCCTGCACCATTATTCTGGGACGACCGTGGGGGGTTCTAAGTGGATAGGGGGGTTACAAGTGGATGCTAAGGTGGGCTATATTTGGCCCAACCTGGCTTATAAGTGGGTTACAAGTGCCCCGACTGGCTTAGGGGGGTTAGATAACTCAACGAAGTGGGCAGAGCCCACTTAGCCCGGATCGCTAACCCCCCTTAAACTACTCAAGGCGCTTGCAACCCGCTTATAGGCCAGGCTGGGCCATATATGGTCCAGGGCTTGGCCCCCCCCCCCCCCCCCATGCTGATGCCATTGGGCCCCCCCCCCCCCGCGCGATGGTCCCCCCCGCCCCCCCCCCCCCCCGTGGGCGTGGCGTGGTGCTGCGCTGCGGTGCCCCCCCCCCCCCCCCCCCCTGTGGATGTGGTGGTGGTGCTGTGGTGGTTCAGAAAGTGGGCGTGGCGTGGTGCTGCGCTGCGGTGCCCCCTCCCCCCCTGTGGATGTGGTGTGGTGCTGTGGTGGTTCAGAGGTCGTCGTCGTCGTCGTCGTCGTCGTCGTGTCGTCGTCGTCGTCGTCCTCGTCGTCCTCGGTCGTCGTCGTCGTCGTCGTCGTCGTCGTCGTCGTCGTTATCGTCGTCGTCGTCGTCGTCGTCGTCGTCGTCGTCGTCGTCGTCATCGTCGTCGTCGCCGTCGTCATCGTCGTCGTCGTCGTCGTCGTCGCCGCCGCCGCCGCCGCCGGCGTCGCCGCCGCAGCCGTCGTCGTGGTCGTCGTGGTCGTCGTCGTCGTCGCCGTCGTCGTAGTCGTCGCTGGCCGTCGTCGTCGTCGTCGCCGTCGTCGTCGTCGTCGTCGTCTTCGTCGTCGTCGTCTCTGGGACCATACCATCTGGGGGGGGGGCCCGAGGAATCCTGGGACCACACCATCTGGGGGGGGGGGGCCCGTGAACCCTCGACCCTGGATCAGATATAAACCACTTTGGCGTCCAGGTGTAACTCCCCTATATCCACCTAGAAGCCCCCACGGTCATCCCAGTTCGAGCTGGATCGATCCGTGAGGGCTCCAGGGCCCGCAGCGTGGCGAAGCCGCCTGGCTCGAAACAAAACGGAGACGCCAGAATCTCAGGGATGCGGCGGGATCTTCCGACCCCACCTGCTCGGGTCTGGTTGACCCAAAATGGGGTCAAAAGCTGGAAGGGGGTGGTGCAATCGATCAGGTGCAATAGATTTGTGGGGTTGCGATATCTGTGGGGCGTGCAATACACTCCTGGGCGCAAGTGTATTGCTGGATGAACGCGTGCAGTACATTCGCCCCAAGACAATGCAATCCAATTCTCTGGCGCCCAAACATGCAATACTATTGCCCCACATCTATTGCACCACCCCCCTTCAGCTGGGCCCCCTGTTGGGTCGGCCAAATCGGGCCCCAGTCGGGAAGCCCCCAGGTGCGCGCGAGAGTGTGGCACGGCGCGGGGAGCCCAGCGCTCTTGCGCGCGCTGCGCCTGGGCGGCCAGCCGCGCGCGCCTGCTCCCGAGGCTGGTGTACGTAGACGCGGCGGGCGAGGTGGTGCCATCGCAGGTCGGCCACGCGCAGAGGGGGGCGGTGTGGGTATAGGCCTCCTAGGTTCGGGGGTGGACAGAACCCCCACCCTGACACGTCGATTAGTGAGTTGTCCGTTTTTCGGTTCTCGAGAGGGCGCCGCGGCCGTCACTTTCCAGGCTTGCGCCCTTCAGGTCTGGGGCCCGAGGTCGTTTCCACTAAACCACGTTTTACCAAAGGGGGTTCTGCCCATCCCCGATGGATGGGGTCGGAGTAGATGGGGTCGGAGGATCGCGCCGCATCGCCGATGCATCGACGATGCGGCTCGATGCGGAGCCCGCTCTTGTCCACGCCGGCGTCGCCGCTGCGTCGCCGACGTCGGCGATGCATCGCCGACGTATCGGCGAGTGCGGTGCGATCCTCCGACCCCCATCGACTTCGACCCCATCCAGGGGAGGCCTCTTGGGAGGGGTGATGGCTTCTTAGAAACACCCCTGCTTCTAAGGCGCGGGCCTTGTCTGTATCTGCAAGGCTGGCGCCTTCTAAGAAGCAGCCTCCTTCTAAGGAGCCTTCCCCCCTCCCCCTACCCTCTTGTGCGCGCCGCCAAGCAGGGGCGCCGACAGGGAGCGGCGCTGGCCCAGAACGTATTTCCCATGGAGCTCACGCAAGTGACTCAGACCCCCTCGGGTCGTGACGAGCATCGAGGCGGGAGGCTCTTCCTTCTGTTTTGCCTTTTTGTTATTGACTGGCCAGGGTCCCCTGCTGGGTCCCTGGACGGTCAGAGAGCGACTCGGGATGCACAGCCGGTCCCGGGGAAGGGGTCGAGACCTTTGGGTGTTAACGTCGTGAGAAATCATGACGTCGGGGGTCTCGGTTCAGTGATTTCGCGCAAATTAACTTGCATGGGATTCCCCCCTCTCCGCCGCCTCATGAAGCAGTGCTGGACCGACCTGGCGTGTAAGCGTGTTTCGGCTCGCATGAGGTCCAGAGTTCCTTCAGGCCTCGCCAGGCCCCCCCGCCTCCCCCTCTGCATGCAAGCAAACTCGCCAGAGCCTAGAGAAACACGGCCTCCCAGGGCGGGATTCGGTAGCAACTCATGGGAGCCTCGTCGGAATTCCGTATCTAGAGCGAATGTGCGTGCGCTGGCGTCTTGTAATCGGTGATCAGGCGCTGACTTAGCGCCGGGTAGCGTCGACTCAGCGTCGAATAGCGTTGGTTAGCGTCGATTGGCCAGAGCCAGCACGATGACATGGGAGGCTCGAGCGAGTTGCCACAGAAGGGGGAAGGAAGCCCAGACATCGTCGAGTCGCTATCACAATCACGACAGAGGGCTTTTGTCAATTCTTGGCCTCGGGGGGCCCTCGCCAGGCCCTGGGGCCAACGAGAAACGGCTCGGGATGAAGAGCCGGTCCCTGGGAAGAGGTCCAGACCTCTGGGGGGGGGGGGGGGCACGTTGCGAACAAGCACGACGTCGGATGTTCAGGGCCTCGAGGTTGTTCCCAATCCTCCTGCGTCGGGTTCTCGGTCTGAGCGGGGCGCTGCGGTCGCGACCTTCGCCTCCTGCTCCCGCCTCCCTTCTCCTCTCCCCCTCTCTTCGCTGCCTTGGCATCGCTCGGACGTGTGCATTTTTCCTTTTCATTTGGCGAAAAAACCACGCACGAAACCGAAAAACACAGGAAATGGACGTCCGAGCGATGGCCAGCTGCCCGTTACCCTGCCTCCCACCTGCCTTCGGCCCTGTCTCCCGCCTGCCTGCGACCCTGCCTCCTCGCCAGCGCCAGTGTGCTGCGGTCTACGGGTCCGTCGCCACGCGTGAGGGCTGCTGGGGGGCCGCGGAGCGACGTCGCACGCGAGTTCGGGGTAGGCCTCACCATGCCTGGCGGGCTGCGAACTGCGGAGCTGTAGCCCCCCTCGAGGGCCGCTGGGTGTTCAGCGGCGAGGCCTCGCCATGCCTGGGGTGCTGCGAACGGCGAAGCTGCCGTCACTTTCGAGGGCTGCCAGGGGATTCAGCGGAGCGGCGGAGCGGCGCCGTACTCGGATTCAGAGTAGACCTCGCCATCCCTGGGGTGCTGCGACTTGCGAAGCTGCAGCCACTTTCGAGGGCTGTTCGGGGTCCCAGGGCCTTGACGTCATACGCGGACTCAGATTGACCTCGCCATCGCGGGGGGGCTGCGAAATGCAAAGCCGTGGCCACTTTTGACGGCTGCTGGTGGGTCCAGCGGGGTGACGCCATACGCGGTAGACCTTGCCATCCCTGAGGTGTTGCGAAGCGTGAAACTTTCGCAATTTTCGGGAGCTGCTGTGGGCCCTGAATAGTGACGTCCTGCGCGGACCCAGATCAGCCTGGATGTCTTCTCCCGCGGGCCGCCCGGAGACCCAGCTGTGCTCCATCGGGGGTTTTGCTCCTGCGTTGCAGGGTGCGGGAAGGAAGCGGGGAACCTGGCGGGCGAGCTCGGCCTCGCTCGCTGCTTGCACTAGCTGTGAACAGCTGACACTGTGGAGCGCCAGAGCGACATGGCGCGGGCCGTGGTGCTTGTCCAGCGTTCCACTGGAAAATGATCGCCACCCTCATTCCTCATCCTGCCCCTTTCGTTGTCGTCCTCTTCCGCCTTCCATCGTCTCACTGCTGCTGCCGCGTTAACTGTTCGGTCCCTCTTCCGTCTTGTTTGTGCGCCCAGTTCCCACCACCATTTTCTCTTAGAGCCTGGGGCCTCAGTCCTCGTTGCTCTGTCGATATCCTGTGAGTCGTGCAGCGCGCGCGCGCTTCCCACATAGCTTACACAACCAATGACAGATCCCGTGTTGTCGTCAGCCATACTGTTCTGGACCAGCACCTCTTGTCTCTTAGCAAAGATGCGCTGGGTACGTCGCAGTGTGTATTCTTTTGTCTGAATCCTCTGGCGCGCAACGGTCGCTATCCGCCCCCCCCCCCCCCTGCACTGTGTGTCTTTTGTTTGAACCCCCTGGCGCGTAACGTTCGTTATCTGGCGCCCCCCCCCGTGCAACGGCAACGATCGTTCGTGGGGGGTCGGGGGGCCTCGCCCCCCCACGTGCTGGTGCTCGCTTGCGTGCTTTGGCGATCGCCGCGCGCCCCCACCCCGACGCGGCCCACCCCGCCCCCACCTGGGGTGACGAGCGCTACCCGACAAACAGTCTAGCATTGACGCACCGGTGGGGGCGGAAAATCACTCCCGGATCCCTCGACCCCCCATTCTTCCGCGGCGTCTCTCGCGCCGGTCCGATCCGCGAGGGCTCCGGGGCTCGAAACGGGGCGAGAACACGCCTGGCGCGACGAGCTGGCGACGCCCAGACCTAGGGGTGCCCCCCCCCTCCCCTCTCTGCGGAGCCGGCCCTCCCCCTCGCCCCCCCTCGGCCGTGGGTGCTGGAGCAGCCCGACCCGCTGGAGCTCGAGGGTGGGAAGCACCCATCATATCTTCACCCACTCAAGGGCATAAAAAACGCCCCTACCCTGGTTTACGAGGCGCTGTGCGCTGAAACTCCTGTGGGCTGACAGGGTAAACCCTGCCTGATGTGCCGCGCCCTGGCGGCTCCAGGCTCTGGGGGCCCCCAGGAGGTTTACAGACCACGCACTTGTAACCCAGGGTAGGGTCGTTTTTCGTCCCTCAAACCCACGGCCTCGCGGTCCGGACGCATCGGCCGCGACCACATGGACACGGGGGTGGCCTTGCGCGGGTGCTCCGCGCGTGGCGTATCCGTGGGGTCGCGTATCCGCGCGACCGCGCCCCGGAGTCGAGGCCGCGAGGGCGTGGGCACGGACAATGATGTTCCCAGACATCCTCCGATATGGTTGTGTCAATCCGCGGCCCCAGGGGTCCTGGTCCCTTTCCCGGGCCCATTTCTCCTCCCCGCTCGATTCCTGAACAGCCCGATGAGTACCCCCTGCTGGGATCGCCGCGGGGGCTGCTAAGTGGACGAGGGGTGATGAGCGGATGCCAAGGGGGGTTGTTTCTATCCCAACCTGGCTTGCAAGCACGTGGTACATGCTCCATGTCGCTGAGGTTAGAGAACCTTGCTGATTGGGTGGGACCCACTTAGCCTAGATCGCTGATGACCCTCGTAGGTCACTTAGGGAATTTATCCGTAATCTCGGGAATATTTATCCTAACGCGACTCCATTAGCCACATACATGCTATTGCGCCCCAGCCGCATACATCATGTTGCGGCCCAGCCACATGAATCGATTGCTTTTGAAGAAGGCGCTGGGAGGCCGCACATCTCTGTGTGTGCGTGTATGTGTGTGCGTGTGTGTGTGATTGTGTGTGTGTGTGCGTGCGTGCGTGTGTGTGTGTGTATGTGTGTGTGTGTGGTGCGCACTGGTCCGAACAAAAACAATGTTAGCCAGCGTGGACCCCGAACAGTGTGTCTCTATCAGCCTATGTTGTGCAACATGTGTTGGTCAATATGTGCTGCGCAATCTATGTGGTGCAAACTTTGTGGTACAATATCTGTTGTGCTCTCGATGTGGTTGGATACCTGTTATTGCACTCGATATGTCGTGCACTCGATGCCGAGGGAGTTTCTTGACTGCCAGCACCGCTTCCAGCAGGGAGTGGACGTCACGCCGCTCTCCACTGCTCTGCAATTCAGGCGGGTGCAATCGATGCTGTTCACCATATTTGTTGTGCAAGCTATGTGGTGCAGTTTTAGTGGTGCTATTTCGGTGGTGCAATCTTTAGGTTGCAACCTGTGTGGTGCAATCGACGCTGTGCAATATATGTGGTGCAATGTTGGTTGTGCAGTCCATGTGGTGTAACCTGTGTGGGGCAATGTTGGTTGTGGACGCTATGTGGTGTAAACTAAGTGGCGCAATCGATGCTGTTCAAGATCTGTTGTGCAAGCTATGTGGTTCAATCGATGTGGAGCAGCCCAGGGCGGCGACGAGGCGGCGACGGGGCGGCGACCGCGGCCGCACAGCCGCCAGACGGACGACAAGGCCCAGACGACCGGCGGCGACGGGGCGGCGACGGGGCGGCGACGGCGGCCACATAGCCGCCAGACCGAAGACACGGCCCAGACGACTGGCGGCGACGAGGCGACGACGGGGCGGCGGCGGCGGCCACATAGCCGCCAGACCGAAGGCACGGCCCAGTTCCTAAGAACAGAACTAAGAACCCTAAGTGCAAGCACTGCTCAGGGAATAACTCGAAAGCAATTGCAATCAACATCGTTCACTAATGATTAGCGCCTCCGCGCCCCCGTGAGATTCTAATTGCAGAACCCCGTGCAAAGGGGAGCCCTTGTGTCATCCACTCTTTGTAATTTTGTTCCGGAGGGCGAATGGAGCCTAGTTTGGGGCGTTTCGCGTGAAACGCCATCGAATCTGCCTGGTTTGGCCGCTCGTTTGGCCTCGTTTGGCCTGGTTTGGTTTGGTTTGGCCGGGCGCCCCGCCTGCGACATCCTCGAAATTCGCCTGCCTCGGCGCCTGGGTTGGTGTGGTTTGGGGCCGGTTTCGCTTGAGACGTCCTGACAATTTGCTTGGTTTGGTATCGCGGCGCGGTTTCGCCCGAGGCGTCCTCACAATTTGCCTGGTGTGTCTGAGTTTCGGCGCGGTTTCGCCCGAAACGTCCTCACAATTTGCTTGGTTTGGCTTGGTTCTGGCGCGGTTTCGCTTGAGACGTCCCCTCAATTTGCTTGGTTTCGTTTGGTTTTTGTGCAGTTCCGTGTGGGGCTCACGATTTCGTTGGTTTGGCTTGGTTTGGGCGCGATTTCAAGCCCTCACGATTTGCACGGTTCGGCAGCGGTTCCGTTTGAAAGGTCGCAATTTGTTCGATGTG